ATCCATGTGCGGCGCCTTAGCAAAATAGGTGTCCTCCGTAGGTAATTTCGACATTCCGAACGCTCCGGTGCGGTCTGTTTTGCCGTCAGAGGCTAATATATATATCAAATTTCATATGATTCATCCATGTGCGGCGCCTTAGCAAAATAGGTGTCCTCCGTAGGTAATTTCGACATTCCGAACGCTCCGGTGCGGTCTGTTTTGCCGTCAGAGGCTAATATATATATCAAATTTCATATGATTCATCCATGTGCGGCGCCTTAGCAAAATAGGTGTCCTCCGTAGGTAATTTCGACATTCCGAACGCTCCGGTGCGGTCTGTTTTGCCGTCAGAGGCTAATATATATATCAAATTTCATATGATTCATCCATGTGCGGCGCCTTAGCAAAATAGGTGTCCTCCGTAGGTAATTTCGACATTCCGAACGCTCCGGTGCGGTCTGTTTTGCCGTCAGAGGCTAATATATATATCAAATTTCATATGATTCATCCATGTGCGGCGCCTTAGCAAAATAGGTGTCCTCCGTAGGTAATTTCGACATTCCGAACGCTCCGGTGCGGTCTGTTTTGCCGTCAGAGGCTAATATATATATCAAATTTCATATGATTCATCCATGTGCGGCGCCTTAGCAAAATAGGTGTCCTCCGTAGGTAATTTCGACATTCCGAACGCTCCGGTGCGGTCTGTTTTGCCGTCAGAGGCTAATATATATATCAAATTTCATATGATTCATCCATGTGCGGCGCCTTAGCAAAATAGGTGTCCTCCGTAGGTAATTTCGACATTCCGAACGCTCCGGTGCGGTCTGTTTTGCCGTCAGAGGCTAATATATATATCAAATTTCATATGATTCATCCATGTGCGGCGCCTTAGCAAAATAGGTGTCCTCCGTAGGTAATTTCGACATTCCGAACGCTCCGGTGCGGTCTGTTTTGCCGTCAGAGGCTAATATATATATCAAATTTCATATGATTCATCCATGTGCGGCGCCTTAGCAAAATAGGTGTCCTCCGTAGGTAATTTCGACATTCCGAACGCTCCGGTGCGGTCTGTTTTGCCGTCAGAGGCTAATATATATATCAAATTTCATATGATTCATCCATGTGCGGCGCCTTAGCAAAATAGGTGTCCTCCGTAGGTAATTTCGACATTCCGAACGCTCCGGTGCGGTCTGTTTTGCCGTCAGAGGCTAATATATATATCAAATTTCATATGATTCATCCATGTGCGGCGCCTTAGCAAAATAGGTGTCCTCCGTAGGTAATTTCGACATTCCGAACGCTCCGGTGCGGTCTGTTTTGCCGTCAGAGGCTAATATATATATCAAATTTCATATGATTCATCCATGTGCGGCGCCTTAGCAAAATAGGTGTCCTCCGTAGGTAATTTCGACATTCCGAACGCTCCGGTGCGGTCTGTTTTGCCGTCAGAGGCTAATATATATATCAAATTTCATATGATTCATCCATGTGCGGCGCCTTAGCAAAATAGGTGTCCTCCGTAGGTAATTTCGACATTCCGAACGCTCCGGTGCGGTCTGTTTTGCCGTCAGAGGCTAATATATATATCAAATTTCATATGATTCATCCATGTGCGGCGCCTTAGCAAAATAGGTGTCCTCCGTAGGTAATTTCGACATTCCGAACGCTCCGGTGCGGTCTGTTTTGCCGTCAGAGGTATATATATATATCAAATTTCATATGATTCATCCATGTGCGGCGCCTTAGCAAAATAGGTGTCCTCCCTAGGTAATTTCGACATTCCGAACGCTCCGGTGCAGTCTGTTTTGCCGTCAGAGGCCATTTTGACGAATTCACCGATTTGCGTGCCAATTTTCTCGTGTCGAAAATATGGCAATATGGGTGTCCTTTCCTACCAAAATTGGTATCCCGGACGCGTTGGCGCAGTCAAATTTGTCGTCGGAGGTCATCCGGAGAAGTTCGCATTTTCACCCGTTCTTTGGGCTTAATTGAAGTCCGATTTCGCGCAATTTTGTGAACTTCGTCTACTTTGTGTGTGTACGTGACGAAAAAGTCGTGACGAATGTTTTCCTAAGACTTGAAGTCCTATTTGGAACATTTTCCTTGAATCTTCGCAAAATAGCCCATAACCGCTCGTTCATAAGACGATGGTCTTGTGCCAAAGATGCTAGACATCAAAGGAAAATAGGAATTGACTGGAATTTCTAGAAAGGTGAGTCTCAATTCTAGTTTTCTAAGATGGTCCATAGGAATTTCTAGAGTTAGAACCTAGGCTCTAAGGAGGAGAAGAAAAGACCTCACAAAAATGAGGTCAACAGCATGTTGAAGCCTTATCATGAAGACATGGAAGACGCTTTAAGAAGGATTTTCAAGCGAGTGCTTACAACTGTAATCACCTCCTTTAATAAAGAAATTGAATAGATACTTGCAGACAGAGTGATCAGACGATGAGGGGTGCCAAACTACAAAGAGTATCTCATCATGTGAAAATGATTGCCTAATAGCGAATATAACTTGGAGCATGAAGACGCACTGTGGCAATTCAAGGAAAAGATCCAACAATACTAGAGTGTCACACACCCCCATCTTCAAGGAAGTTGGTAAAACTACCACGAGATGGAAGATTCTAGAAGGAGGAGAGCTATCCATGCAACTCTAAAAGATTCCACCTCACTCTACAGAATTGTCCAAGGATAAACTCAAGAATAATCTAGAAGGATCAAGGGCCATGTATGTATATAAGAATAGTAGAGAAAACTATAGAAACTAGGCTATTCTCATGTAATCTAGAAGTTTCCTTTGGGCTTGGAGGGGGCTATAAATAGGATTCCCTCCCCCTCATTTGTAACCATCCAAGAAAACTTTGCAAGCATTCAAGTGTTTAATCTTTCTTTCTTAGTGAAGTATTTTATTCTCCTATACTTCTCTATATTCTTCTTCCAAGAGTGTTATGTGCTTACAAGTCCGAGTGTTGTGAGGGTTAGACTGATTTAGTGCCAAGGAAGAACACTAAAGCCCCACACGGGTGACTAGAGATAAGTTAATCCGTGACAATAAGCACTTATAACATTAAAAATTTTAGTATCAACGATAATCTTAAGGGCTATAATTCTATCTCTAATTCTATTAATCTTCACAATATTATTTTTCAAACTCTTATTGTACACCTACACCATTTCTAGTATGACTCCTACCTGAATACCAAAGTTTAAAACCTAAGCTATCAATCTCCTTAGCTTTTCGTCCAACTCATTTAGTTTCTTGCATACAAATTACAATAAACCTGAAGTTCGGGGTTTTCTTGAAAATATTCTGATGAAATAAAATTCTAAAACAAAAGCAATGCATACTATAGCAATTCCTTGCATAGATGCAACAGAGATCCAAATCTAATTTGCTCAAACTGCATCATTCGACTAGCTTGAGTCTGTTCTAAACCATTTCAACTAACCTAGCAATAGTTCATCAAATCAATGCAATCATCATAGCCGCATACAAAATATTTAATTGAAAATTACAAAATAAAATGAAAATTGATATTTAAAGTGGAACTAGTCATTATTTGTTTGGCAGTTCTGTTGAGTATGAACACAAAAGACTCCATTATTTTCTATGTTGAAGGTAGTGAGAGTTTTATGAATGTTCAAGATTATATCTAGTCAGCTTGATTGATATGTAGAACTTGATGTTGCCTTATCCTTATAAAAGTTTCTCTTGCTAGATGCTATCAAAGATGATATGAAAGATGACAAGACAATCTGTATAGCATGACATGAGAGAATGTATTTGCTTATATTTGAATTTAATTGCATATTAAGTTTTGTTTTACCTTATCATTATAGTTCATGGAGGTACAAACATAACAGAAAACTTACTAAATATTGGCTTTACAAAACATTAATGGAATTTTAATGTTCTTTCCATACTATTTAAGCATCGATATGTCCTTTGCAGGAACACTTGGGTCCTTAAGTTCTTCTGGTTCATTATCCCCTCGAATTTCGCTCCCTGATACCTCAGAGATTGTCACCTGGTAAGGCTTTCCTTCTCTTTTATTGGTTGATCCCAGCTTTGAAGGATGAAAATTAATTTTTGTTTTTTCCCCGGTTAGCATTGAATCTATGCATCAGTTCCTTGAGTTTTATTCATCATCATTGCAAAATTGCCTCTTCCGTGATCTGTAAATGGTATATACTATTTTTTGTTTGCTTTTATGACCGGGTTCAATCTGACTTGATGCATAAAATCTTTAACTATTTTTTTGTTGCTTTGTTCTGCCATTTTTATTTTGCAACGATATGAACCTTGGACATCTATTTTAGTGAGAAGACGCATTGCCATTTTTCTTGTTGTATTCCTCATGCGCATTTTGTTTTCCTGTTATCTGTTTTGGCTTCAATTTCTCTTCTATTTTGTATATGCTGTTGTGGACACATATTTTATGCCCAATCAGGTTTTAAGCTTTTTTTTCACATCATAATGCACACAACAAAGGCCGTTGATTTTTATTTTTCTGCATTAATAATGTCCAATTTTTTTACTTTTAGTCTCACTAGAACCACACATATGATGATGTTGTCTTAACATTATGCAACAAAAATGGACATAATTAAGAGGTTCAATGAGTAGTTAAAAGACAATCAAACAATTAGAGAAACACGGGGAAAACAGACTGTAGCCGCTCGCATGATTAACATCAACATGGTACCTGGAAACCATAATCGCAGGCCCCATGCAACTAATATGGGAAAATTGGGGTTCCTAAAAGCTTGTGATTGATAGTTTTAGTGAAGAATTGCAGTTAATCAATTCTATTGAAGTATGAGTTGAAAACAGAATATGGGCGTATTATTAAATAACAAAATCTTGTTGAGATGTTCAAGTTTATCTGTTCTATGGTGAGCTAATTTGGGTTGTATGACAAACACAACAATTGCTTTAACCTTACATGCAAAACTTAAACCAAGAGTTGTTAGTCATCACTCATCACAGAAAAAGTTTAATATATGGAAAGGATTAAACTCTAAAATAACCCTATGATTATTTGTGTGTGACCAATTTGGTTCCGAAGTGTTATTTTTCTCTAGTTTAATCCTACAACTATACAAAATTGATTGAAATGTTTTTTCAAGGACTAAATTGTAATTAGTTTTGGGATCAATTTTGGATAGTTGAGGGATTAATTTAGGGAACCACAATAGTCTTTGACTATATTGACTACATATGAATTATTAGGGGGCTAGTTTAGAATTTAATATATATGGAAATTAAACGCTTTTGTTCATACTTTAGACTAAGAAAAAATTTATGGGTTTTATTTTTCTTCAGTGTTTTTCAAATTCCTTTGCAGCCCTTTATTGTGATTTTAACAACACTGATATGGTTCATCTAATTATCAATAATTGTAAAGGAATACCCATTTCATTCCTAAAGTGTGAAAATATCTAGTTCTTTTTGTAGGCATGGGATGATAGTGAAATTAATTTTTGTTTTTGTTATGGAAAGTAATAAATTTGAAGCATGTATATTAGGTAGCCTGATATTAGATCATCTAATTCGAAGAAACCCTGTTATGTTCATTTCATCGTCCAGTTATTTGCATGCATAGCGTAAAATAGGGATTTCTAAAAAAATTGTGCCCACAAGTAAGAGTGGATATCTGAATTTTGGATTTTCAAAAAAATTAAATGATTTAATTAGGATTCAATGTGATTTAATAATAGGTTAAGAAAATAAATAAAAGGTGTCATGAACTTAATTAAATTTTAAAAATTATTATTGACTCATTAATAAGTGACCTTTAACCACAATTAATTACTCTTCTATAAGGATTCTTAAAAACTTGAATTGAATACATATAAATTTAATTCATCAAATATATCAAATTTTATCTCTAATCCATTTAAGTAATTTAATTCTTAGTTATCATCTCTTGAATTACAATCTTTTGAATTAAGTTCGGAAGTAATTGATAATTTAATTTAGAAAAAAATTGGTATTCAAAATCATTAAAGAAAAGCTTCACTAGATATAGTAATTGTCAATAAAAGTTAAAAGAGTAAAAAATCTGAAGATAAAGAAAAATAGAAAAAACTCAAGTTTATAAAGAAAAAAGCAGAAATCTTAAAGGAGAAGCTTGAGGTTAAAGCTTGAACAAAAAAACTGGCACCAATCTCCCATTCTAAAAGTCAAAGAATCAAAAGCCCACTTAACTCTAAAATCAAAATATTGTATTAAAAAAATATAATGACTGAATTAACATTATTTAGTTGATTAGCCCAATTGAATTATATGTATTTGAGAATTAATCTTATTTTAGTAATCAAATATAAGTGATTTAGAAATAATTGAGATTCCTAAGAACAATCAAACTTAAAAAAAAAAGAGGTGTATGCATTTTGAATTATTTATTTATTTTATTACTAAAGAGTACTGCAATTCTAAGTCATAGTCTAACATGAATTTTCAAAGATTTTAATTTAAGGTATCGATTTACTTGAGGGCAAGTAATGTTTATATTTGGGGGATTTGATGTGCTGAAAATGTGTTGTGCTATTTCTTATGTTATCTCAATTATTTGTCACTTTTATGCTTTTTCTGGCTATATTTGTGTATATTTGTAGTTTCCAGGTTAAAAGTTAATAATAGGGAGCATATGAAGAAATTTATGCTAAGCCTCTCCTAAGCGCCTTGGTGCCCAGTCTAAACGTCTGGGCGCCTGACCTAGTTCCTCATTCGGCTAGGAGAACAGATAGTTTGGAAACCCAGAGTTTGCCCTAGGCACCTAGGAGCTCAAATCAACCCCATCCAATGTGCATGAGGAATAAAGAGCTTGGAAACCCTGCAGTGCCTCTCGCACTTAGGCGTCCTAACTAGGAAGTGCCCAAGGATAGCAACTGATGAAGAAGTTCATATGTGCCTTAAGATAAGATCCAATCACTAGGTCTCTGCTAGAGATTGAGTATCTTGGGAGTGGGAATGTGATGTTTTTAGAGTAATAAGTGACTGTGTTTTTGTATTGTGAGTTTTGAGAGAGTAAATCTGGCGGAGATCATTGTAAAATGAATAATTAAAGTAGTGCATGTCAAGATTTGGAATGAATTCTTACATGATTACTTATATTAAGTTAATGTTTGCAGCTGTGGGGAGGAGTCTTGGATTTTGTGGAGGCTTTCTTCAAGTTGTTTGAGGGTCTCTTCCTCCTTTGGGAAGAAACTCCTTGGGTTAGTTTTACTTTGAGAATTGAGAGGCTGTGTTTGAGAGAGAGATTGAGGGATATTGTGTGACGAGGATCACAGAGAGCTTGTCCTCATATGGTGAGGATTTGGTGTATTGCGGAGAAAACTTTGCTTGGTTGTAAGTTTATAATTTCGTGCCCTTTTTTCTTCAATGATTGCAGTAAAATCTTCCTTATTTTTTACCTCATTTCTAGTAGCTAATTTGTTTTCATGCTCATGTAAGAGTAATTTTTCTTGTGTTTTTTACGTGAGTTTTTCCTTGTATATATTTTTCGTGCCTTTAAACTTCATATGTTGATATTTAACTTTTCGATCTTAATTTACTTCGATTTTTATTCAATAGAATGTTAAAATCTCTTATGATCTAAGACTTTTAACCATCATTTAGAAGAACGGGTAGGTTAACACATAATAGCCTAGTGGAATAGCATATTGCCATTAGGGATTTACAATCTAGATAGGAGATCCGAGAAATCTTAGTAAACACTCCATGGTTAAGTTATTTTTTATTTGTGATATGATTTCTAAGTCTTCCTAAAGCCTTGACATAAACTAAGGAGAATTGTGTGCTTGGTTGCCAACCATCACATAGGGGAACATATAGGAAAAACATCAATACAACACTATACTGATGTCATAGGAGCATGAGCTTCATCACCTCTGAAGGACTCAAAGTTGCTCCCTTCTTTTTATTGTTTCCATTTATATTCACTGTTGTCGTTTACCGTTTATTTTTAGAACTGTTAGATTTTCCTTTGTGCATTTAGATCACTTCAAACTGAATTCAACAGTGTAGTACACTAAAATTTCATTCTTTAGAAATATTTTGACATTGTTCTCGTGAGATCGATATGCCGACTCATAACCCATATATTACTTGATCAGCTTGTATACTTGCGTGATTGATCAATTTTACTCGCAACAATTTTGGGTGTCAAATACGTTTTTCTTTTTAAATAAGAATAATGAACAGGATATTTAAATGTCTTAAAATGGCTCAAAATAATCCAATGAATTGTCAAAATGAGAAGCATATCCTATTGACATAAACGTCAACATAAACAATAAATGGTTTAGTTGAATCCCAAGACTACAGAGGGACATCAAAACAGCATAATGTAATAATTTCATGGTAGGAACCATTTGAGAAGTTTGTGTGTCCTACCATTTAAGTTTTTTTTATTTTTCATTTTTTAACTCTTGTGAACTCCCTTATGTTTTTCATCTCTTTTTTTTAAAAAAAATTATATCTTACCTCAACTATACTTTTTATGGATCTATAGTTAGAATTTTTAATTTTCTGCATGTGGAATGTGGCATGTGGCATTCCTTAATTTTGGCTAGTGGTTGAAGATAGCAACAAAGCCTTTAGCTATTCTATAGTTTATTTCTAGAACTTTTCATGACCAAACAATCCTTCAATGATTAAAGATAGTGTTATGGCATATTGTGTAGCGAAAGCGATCAAGTGTTTCTTTATTTTGAACCTTTCTCAACTTTCTTTTTGTTTCTTATAATTCTTAATAACTTGTTTGGTTACCTGTGCAATTTTTTTGGATATAAATTAAATTTGTTTCAACTTTTATTCGGCTAGTTGCTTCCTCAGTTACATCTGCCTTTTAGACTGGTATACGATAGTGCTCTTTGCACAATGAATTTTTTCCTTAAATATAATTGTCATAATTGTTCAGGGCTGGCAATGTAACCCAATACTTAGCTGAACCTCGAGAAAAGAACTTTTTTCTGCAAAGTTTGTCTGAAGAAGATGATTCAAATTTAAATCCTAGTGCCACAGATCTAGAAGGTAGCCATTTCCACAGACAACTGACAGATAAGGATCGCATTGGATGCCTTGAGAATGGAGTTCAGTATTGGACAGACTTTTCTAAAGTTAATTATCATCCTCATAGCTTATATGAACTACATGGTTTGTGGAACGATGTTGAGAAATTTGATAACTATGGAATTGGAGAAGATATACTGTCAGCTGGTTTTCAGAGTGAAGAGATGAATGAAAGGCTAAGGTTCTTTATTGAGGAATGTGACCAAATTCAGGTTTATTTCTCTTCCGTGCTTTTGAAATATTTGTTTCTTGCACTTAAAAAGCTATAATTTTTGTAAGTCGTAGAGATCTATAAAGGAAGAAAAGTAGAATACTGCATATCTTTTATCTACTAAAATTTGGCTCTGTTATATAGAGGTTTACAATAAGAAAAAATAGGGAAGAAACAAACATATCCTAGTTAGAAAGGAAGGTTACATATTGCAACAATTTTTCTAATTCAAAGTTTACTAAATAAATACAGTCGCATCCACCTTAACAATTTATGGGCACCTTAACAATCTATGGGTTGATGCCTTCCAACGTAGTAGGGACTGTGTCCTCCAACTCAACAATCAGTGGATTCCTATTTTAGAGAAGTCGCAAGCAGGAGCTCATCTATTGTTGCAACCCCCTTTTCATCTAGGAACACGAATGAGCTGCCTTGCTATAATGGAAGTGGCCAGTTCAGGATTCATCACTCCCCAAAACTAGTTTGTAAACATTCAACAAATCAAGATTGTCAATTATTTTTTAATTAAGGTCCTAGTTACTTTGGCTAGGATTCAATAACAAATAATGAAGTATCATTTTTAGTTAATATTTTTTATTAGGATGGTCCCAAATGTCATTATGGTCAAGTGAATAAAGTTTTTTGTGGTTTTATATATAGCTTAAGTTTGAAGATAGCTCTTTGATATTTGTTAAGTTGACAATTTTCATTTAAAATTTTCTTATTGCCAAACAAAGAAGGAAATAAGATTTAACGTAAGGAAAACTTGGATAATCTAATTTATAATATCATAATATAATTTGTTCTCTTTTTTTAAACTTTCATCTTAGTAGTGCAAACATTTAACCTTTCTAACACTGTCAATACCCTTGATGTCTAGTCCTGAAAGTCACAAGATTTTGATAAGAAAGCGATTTCACCCCTACAATCTTTCACTAGCTTGCTTAAAAAAAAGAGATTGCAAGAGCGATTAAGAACATATAAGACATAATTTAGATAAAAGGTGCAAGTGATTAATAGTAGAGGATTAAAATTCAACAATTTTGACTCTGATATGTTTAGGTGAGGAAGCATAATAGGTGAGCGCAACCGACCATTCGTATGATCTGTTGCTGATGAGTCAAAAATCTAGAATTCGTGGCCTCCTTTAGTACACAACTAATATCAAGAGAATAATAATACATTTCTAGGCTAAAAGGGAGAAAGTAACAGCTTTCCAGTAGTGAGTAAATTATATAGAAGACTTAATTGATCATTGTTTAAGAAAATATTGGCAAATTTTTCATTTGCTTTTTTATCTTTAGTCGCTGACTTTTTGTTTGATAAGCTTAGTGATTTTTGATGATTTTTAGGATTGTTTTGATTTGCTTGTCTGCCATGACATTTATAAAAAATTTCTTTTGCATGATTATTTTTAAAAATATAGCACCAAAGATTCTCTTTTCATGCTTGGGATCATGTCTTGAGTTTTTCTCCCAGACTTCTAATGGTAAGAGTATTCTTCTATCTTGTCAGTGTTTTTGGTACCTCCAAGTATTATTCTCCAACCACTTTCTTCCATTTGAACTGCAAAAAAAGGTTTTTTATTTTTGCAAAGCGAATGGACCCCTATTATTCTTCCAGTCATTTTGATCTTTATCAAGACCAGCAAAGAAATCATACGGTATTATTTTTTCTACAATTCTGATTTGTTTACCTGCATGTTCGCCGCACCACTTATTTTGCTCATTTTGTAAGAGTGGTCAAGTATTCTTTGATGCTAATGCTTCCTTGCTTGAGTTCATGAGTTTGATATTATACTTCACTTGATTAAGTGAAATTTTTAAGATTTAAGCAATCAATCATAGGGTCAAACTTGTTCTTCCATGGAATTGATAGGTCAAGATGGGCGTTGTTGATATCCTGTGATGATGGATTGTACCGATTAGGTCTCCAATATTTTTTTTTTATTGTATCAACCATTTCATTTAGGTTCCAATATTTCTTCTTGTCTATATTTGATACCGGAGCTAATTCAAAAATCAACAGAAATGAAAATAAACTTTATTAAGCAACTGATTAGGGTTACAAATAAAACCCAACTGAAAGGAAATTACAACAAACACTAATCTCCAGCCAGGGATAGATAAGAAGATCTGAGGGCAGCGGGCGAGGTGGCGGCAATGGCTAGGGAAGGTGGAAAGAGGTTGCAGTGCTTTAAGAAGGTGACGGGGAGATGACAACAGGGTGGCTGTTAGGGGTTGAACAACAGGCGGGGCTGCATGAAAACATGCGAAAAGGCTGAGACGAAGAGATGGGTTGTTGGCAAGATTTAGCGAGGTTGGGAGCCTGTAGGTTGGCGGTTAGACGTCTAGACGACAGGAATTTGCTACAGGTGTGGTTGGTGGTTTGATGGCTATAGGGGAAAAATGGGGAAGTCGACCGACGACTAGGAGAGGTAAGGAGATGGGAGGGAGGAGATTAGGAAGGTTACAACACCACCTCGAAGGAGGATATAGCCGAAGGAAACACCACCCGTTATTAGATACAACCCTAGCAAGGGAGAAGGAAACAGTCCAAAGATAATATGAAAACAATAACACAACATCACATAACTCTAATTCTAAGAAAACAACACATATATATACTCATAACAGGAAAACCATAAATGGAAAGGTAGGGGAAGGGCCAGTAGCATTGTTGGCCCTTCCAAATATCCTCCTGGTCTAGCTGAGGTCTGAACCGGGACATTAGGGAATTGGGTGAACGACTCCTTTTATTCTGCCAGTCGGTTCACCCTGTTGGTTTCCCCAACCCCACACCAGTCTTCAATTTCCTCGAACAAAGGTGGATGCATATCTTGAAATATCTTCAGATACTTATCCACAATGACTGTATCACTTTCGATAAGCTGCGATCTGGACTCCTGAATTAGCTGAGTCATCAGTCATCTGTGTCAGGACATTCATGTTCACATTTATAGTATGTTGTACTTCTTTTTTATCATATTTTTTTCTATAATTTCAAGTGTATCATTATGCTTGAATGAATATAATTATTAAATTGAGTTAACTTAAATTTTTAATTTTCTTATTATTAAAATTTATTTATGATTATCATGTTTGCTCTTTTCAACAAGATTTTTTCATTTAATCCTAATACTTGGCTCTGATACCACTTGTCAGTACCTAGCTTGGGGTTTGGAGTTAACCAAGACGGGCACAGACAGTCAGACAGTGAGAACTAAGTTTTCAATATTCATTTTCTATAAATAATATTTTACAAATAAAAGAGCTGTTAAATAAAATTAATTTAAGATGATATAATTTAAATTTTACCTCATAATAGGTCGACCACATCTTCTATAAACATTATCCTTTCTATCTCTTATATTTTAATCACTTAATTAACATGAAATATTAGTTTAAAATAACAATTAATTAAACAAACCAGTAAAGACTCGTACTCATAAACTATAATAATATAAGGTAGAAAAAGTAATATGCATGTCTGTTAAGTTTTTAATAACTTAATATATATATATTTGATGTCATTAAAGAATCTTACTATATCAATAGCTTATTTATATCATTTAATATATGTACAACCTTCGTAAGAGCACCGTCTAAAAATTATATTACTTAAGTTACTTTAATATCAATATCATTTTCTATTTACATGCACGGGTACCTTAGTGCTTCCTTGCTAGTATCAAAAATTGGTGGCTCAATGATAATCAGTCATCTGCATATAAATAATTTATGAAAATCACTATTTACTAAAAATGTATTTCATTCCTATTTGCCTATCAGACAATATACTTATAAATTGTTCAAATGATAATTTAAATTATACCGTAACACATCATTTCTACAAAGTGAAACAAAATTTATTAGAATTCAAAATCTTAAATTTACAGTAATTTCAATATAGCTAATGATAATAATAATAAATACATTTGTTCTAGAAGAAACAAAATATTACCATAGTATAAGAACATGGGTACTCATCTCGATTTCGATTAATTTGTTATTTGATTTGTCTTGACGTCGTTTTTTCTAAAATTGAAAGCCTAAAATAAGCATGGTATAAAATTTAATTAATTTATTATTTTAATAAACTATTACATTTTCATTATTTAAGTACTAAATTTTCATATTTATTTTATGTTGTCCTAATTATATACATGTACACACACAGATATATATATATATATATATATA